CAGGGAGATGCCAGACCATCAACCCCATCATTAAACCCAGCCCCACTTGGGGGGGATTTCATCCACCTCTCAGGAAGCAGGTCTGGGGGGGGGCGATGACACTGCCACATGGGTTATGTTGCTGTATCACCCCTCTGCCCCGGCCAGCAGAAGCAATGGCAATCCCTCGCTGCCGGGGGATTCTGGACCTTGTAGTCCAAGGATTTTAAAAAAAACTCTCTCTTTCTCTTCTCCCTCTTTCTGGAGCAGCCGTTCCCAGGTTCAGTCGTCTGCAATGTTCGGCGGGGGCTTTGTCCGCCCTCCCGAGGTTCTACGGGGCCGTCGCCACCCCGTCCAGAAGGCCAGCTGAAGCCCCAGAGGCGACGGGAGCGCTGGGTATGGCTTTGGGGGTCCACGAGTCACAGGGGGGGGGTCTATGTGCCATTTGGGGCAGGAAGAAGCAGAGGCTGGCGGGCCTTCCGCAGAAGGTTGGGGTCAAATTTTTGCCAGTCAAACAATGACCCTGTAAAATGTCGTACCGCACTCGGCTAGTCTGTGTTGTGGCCACATCCCGTCTGGCATTTATCCCCAAAAGGGGGTTCCTTCCAGTGTGAAACGGTTTTCTATCCCATCAGCCGTCATTTGGGCCCTGGGGTGGGGGGAGATGGGAGGGCATTTGGCAAAGAGCATTTTACGTGCCGCTTCCTCGGAAGCTCCCCCAGTCCCTGCTCTCATCCAGACCTTTTTTCCTTCTCCTGGGCTTGGTTTTTCCTCTTCCAGACGTCAAAGAAAAGCTTCTGCAGGAACCCCTCAGGCACCCGGATTTCTTCAACGTCCAGGAACTCTTCTCCCTGCGGGACCTCTTTGACGCTCAGGTCCATCTCGGCCACAAGAAGGGCTGTCGTCACAGGTCAGTCGTCCGGCGGCGCTTCTGATCCGAATCGGCCTGTGGGCACCTCCTGACTCCTCTTCACCCCACAGACGTTCTGGGGAAGGGGGGGGCTTTTGCAGCGTTCTGCCAAAATCAGGCCCAGCTCACAAATCGGGCTACCTCTCGCTTGCGCGGATGATAACGGGCCCTGCCCTCTGGGATGATGGAGAACCAATCCTGCCCCCTCCTCTGGAGGACCGCCATCCTTCCTCCCCTCTTCTTTTCCAAAGGCCAAAGAGGACCAGGTCTTTCTGTCTTTCCTCCTTGGTTTCCAGCCCCCTGATCATCCTCCTTGCTCTCCTCTGAACTGGCCAGCATCCTCCTTAAAAAGCATGGTGTCCAGAACTGCCTTCTGTCCCTGCAGGTTAATGGAGCCGTACCTGTTTGGCTGCCGCTTAGATGTGGACATCATTGACCTGGAGAAGACGATGGCCCACCTCCAGTTGGCCCTCAACTTCGTCGCCCACATTGCTTACCGCAAGGGCATCATCCTCTTCGTCAGCCGCAACCGTCAGTTCTGCTACCAGATAGAGAAGGTGGCCGAGGAGTGTGGCGAGTACGCCATGGCACGCCCCTGGGTGTCCGGCTTGTTCACAAACGCCCACTTGAAGTACGGGCAAGGGGTCCGCCTGCCGGATCTCGTCATCCTCCTCAGCACCCTCGGCGTCGCCTTCGAGCCCCACCCGGCCGTCGCGGAGGCGGCCAAGATGAACATCCCCACCGTGGGGGTGGTGGACAGCAACTGCAACCCCTCCATCATCACGTACCCCATTCCGGGGAACGACGACAGCACGGCGGCCGTCCAGCTGTACCTGAAGCTCTTCAAGAGGACGATCACGAGGGCCAAGGACAAGAGGAAGCAAATGGAGGCCTTGCTGGGGCTGCAGCAGAAAGAAGCCAGCCAGGGGCGCCAGGAGCCCCTTCCGACGCCCACAAGCCCAGAAACCATGAAACGAAGCGAAGCAGATCCGCCGCCTTCTGTGGGCTGAATGGCTCGGGACCCGTGGCCCCAACCCGTTTGAAGCCGCTGTCCTCCCTCGGCTGTGTTCGGAGGTCCACCTCCATGGACATTCATGTTTTGCTCCAGACCCCATGCCATGCCTCTGCTCTCTGTAAAAAAACCTGCAGTAAAGTTGCCATTTTTCTCAGAAGGCCTCTCTTTCTTGTGCTTTAGAACAGCCATGGCTTGTTCTGCAAGAATTGCAGGATTTAAACCATTACCACGAGTTCTCCGGCCTTGGCTGCCTGCTCCTGGGCATAGGCGCCGGTCAGTCGTTTGCCCTGGGCTGGGGAAGTGGGTGGCTTCCTGACATGTGGGGCTTTTCTGAGGGTGCCAGCTTGGGAGCCCCTGCAACGGTGTCTTCCTCCTTTTTCCCCCCTTCATTTCCCCCTCATTTTATTAAAATGAGGGTGGTTTCTCCAGGGGCATGTTATATACAGTAGGAGCCCCTTCCCTGTGGGATAGCTTCCCTTTCCTAAGCTCCTGAAAAACTTAAATCTTGAACTGGGTCTGCTTTTGTTTTCCAGCCTCTGTTGTTTGGCTTCTTAAAAGATGCCACAAAAAGCAACGAGCAACACACAGCGTGCATTTAAAAACTGTGTTTTAAACTGGTGATTTTTAAAATCCTTGATAACCCCTACCTTTCAAATAAACTTTCCCAGAATGGCTTAGTTATCCTCAAGGCCTGTTTCCTAACTTGAAAACGAATCTAGACTCCCGGAGGCACCGACGGTCGAGGTTTCCCTCGTTTTTTGTCGCAGGCTGTCCTACCCTGCAGGGTTGTTGTGACTGTAAGGGCGGGGGGAAGAAGAGGAGCAGAGCCCGGTGTGCTGCTTTGAGCAGACGGGGGAGGAAAGGTATGTTAGAGAAGGGCAAGGAATAAATAAACCCAGGATGTTTGCACACCTCGTGAGTAGCAGGTATCCTGACACCTTCCTGGTCTGACTCTGCAGCCACCAGATGTGACCGAGGTCTGGATTTTTTGGGGGGGGAGGCTTGTTATTTTTTAATTTGCTCCCTGAGAAGAGTTTTGACCCTGTTCCCACCAGGGTTGGGCAAAATCCTTTCTTTTCTTTTCCTCTCCTGACTTATTCCCAGGGCTTCTGCCCTGCATCGATTTCTCCCAGGGAAGTAAATAAAGGCGCGTATCGCTTTAAATCGCGGCTCCCTTCGTCACTTCCCCGGCCTTTCTCCTCACTTCCGTTTCCGGTTAAAAACGCGGTTTTAAAATGGTCCCCCCACTCATCGCTGAACCCGGAAGTTCGCCCGCTACAAAAAGGAGATACTTCTCTTTCCTTTTTTCCTACGCTCTATGGTTTCTTGGTGTTTGCTTTTTTTTTAAACTCTCCGCCCTTAGTCTTTTTGTCCCTCGGGCCTTCCCGTCGGTGCGCATGCGTTCCCTTGATCCAGCTCGGCTTATATAAGCCTGGGACGCGGAGTCCGTCGGCCATTTGGCGCGCGGAGGGTAAGGTGAGTGTCTTGTGTTTGCTGTTGCTGGCTGGTTTTGAGGATGATGGGTGTTGTAGTCTGCCGGAGGGGTCAGGCAAGCCTGCAGATCCCATCGCCCCGAATGGCACGGCAGGCTGGGGGATAATGGGAGTTGTTTTCTGCCACGTGTGGGAGGCAAAACCGCAGAGCCCATGGCCCCAGATGTGATTGCAGACTGGGGGATGATGGGAGTTGTCTGCATGGTGTTAAAGAAGGAAGGAACGGGGAAAGGCTTATAAGAAACCAGCACGAGCTACTTGATCCCTTGCCTTGCTTGGGGGGGGGAAGAGGACGGTTTCCACCTGCGTGGCTTTTTGGCCCAGTTAGTTTCTGGGGATAGAGAGAGGATCGGCGATATATGATTGCAATGCATCAGAAAACCACCACCGCCCTATTCTCTGGGGGCCTCTTCAAGCCCACCCGCGGGTGCTGAAAACCGTGGATGATATTGAACGCTCCCTTTAGCATTTTCTCCGGCTCCCTCTAGTGGCCAGTTCGGGTAACCTCGTTGACCAGGACATCTGAAGTGCTCTTTTGCAAGAGAAAGGCAGCCGTTGCAGTGGGTCTTCCCGCTTGGGGGGCGGGTGAAGGGCAAGGAAAGGTGGTCTCCAGCTCCCTCTAGTGGCCAGTTCGGGTAACTTCGTTGACCAGGACATCTGAAGTGTTCTTTTGCAAGAGAAAGGCAGCCATTGCAGTGGGTCTTCCCGCTTGGGTGCAGGGGGCGGGTGGAGGGCAAGGAAAGTCCCCTTCCTGCAACAGCGGAGACCCCACCCCACCCATTGCCCCTAGAGGCGTTGCAAGCACCGGCTGCTGTGCTGGGTTTGCGTCATTAGGAGGCAAAGAGGGACAGGCTACGTCTACGCTCAGTGCCCTGACAGCCACCCCGTGGGCACTTTGAATGATTTCTAGCCTAACAAAGCCACACGCTCATCCTTTTCCCCCACCTCCACCCTCGGCTAAAAGCAGGTAACGACTAAAACGACTGGGGCAGTCTGTGCAAACCATGGTAGGATCCCCTTGCCCACGGGAGCGGGACCCGCTGATTCATTTATCTTCAGTCTCAAAATAGGGAAAGAAAAATACATATTTAGAAAGAGGAAATGACCAGAACTAGGGGGAGCCAGAGACACTGTTTATATGCATAATATTTGCTCTAACCCACATTTTCCAGTATCCACAGAGGGGCTTGGAACCATCTGCTGTGCATACAGAGGGTCCTACCCTATTTGTGATTAATGCAAGATGATTTTCATGCCGCACCGTGGAACTCTGAAAGATCTGAGCGGTAGTTAAAGCCATTTATCTGTTTGGGTTATTAATGACAATTTTTAAAATTATTATTTACAGGCCCACGCTGTGTGCTGTTGCAAGCCAGTCGTATCTGAGAACAATAAGTGTGAGTTTCTACACATTTAAATTGGAGAATGTCACAAAGTTTGCCCTCGTGGAATAAAAAGATAAAGGTTTGCCATGTAAATGGTCCTGTTTAGTTTCTTTTTCATTCCAGGTGCTAAGAACTGAAAACATGAGCGCTCGTCCCCCTCCCTTTACCAATCAGCTCTTGGTTTTTCATTCACACAATTCCTCTCAGTGGACACACGTTAATCTCTTTGATTGTAGGTCTGCCCTAAAGCTCTTGATCTTTGATCTTCCATTCAAGCCTTATTCTAAACTGCCTGGAGCAGCTTGATGTGGCATGTCAACATTAAAATAAATTTAAAATAAGTGCCCACTGAGCAGATTAGGCAAAAAAGTATTTGGGTGGGTTTTTTGCTGTGATGCTTAAACTTTCAGACAATGTATGAATTGTATTACTAGTCCTGAGAAATACAGTTGGCTGCATATAGAATATATGCAGCACCTTAATTTTGAAGAGAAGCAAAGAGTGGGGGGAGGGCAGATCGTAAAGAGCGTTCTGGGTGTCCTTGGTCTCTGCTAGGTGGAAATAGAGTAGGACACGCACACCATCCACTGGATCAGCAGCCATGGATTCACTTTTGTCCTGCCTGAAAATATTAAATTGCCAGAACAGAAAGGCGTATTTATACATATTTTCACAGTATTTACAAGGCTAGCTGCTAAGAGGAAGCTATGAAAGGTATCTCCAGTTCCATATTTTGGGCCATCTGCGGGGGGGGGCTTGGAACTGATCCCCCCGACACCCCCGGTCTTTCTGCATGAGGGCTTTTTGGGTGAGCTGCCCCGTTGAGACGTAACTACGACTGCAGTGTCGTTTTTATGCCAGAAGGAGGCAGAGAGGAAACAATGGCTGCCTAAACATCTTAACCCTTAAAGAAGGGGTGAAAGATGATCACGGCAGCTGGACAAAGGAACAAACTCATATTCATGCTTTTCCCCCTGCCATACCAAATCTGTTGAGAAATGGAAAACTATGGATTCAAGTATTCTGCCTACACCAGTTTCTAGGAACTCGCAGCCTCCCTGTGTTTATGCAGCTTTCTTGACTTCCATTTAATTTGCCTAAATAAAAATGAAATGTGCCCCCATGTTGTGTCAGTTTTCTGTCTTACGAAGGATTTCCCTTGGGACTTTGGAATGCACCAACCACCTCCACGTCTGCTCACAGAATTGTGAGATAAAGCTGCTGCCACTCTCTCTGTGGGTATTTGTATTTACTTGGCCACAGGGTTGGGGTTTCTGACATGGGGCAGCAGCAGCTGCGTCAGGGAGGGCTGCAGGATTCATAGCCATGCAGGAGTTGAAAAGCCCAGTCCGTAGGGCGGCCGTGTGCCAAGAGAAGGGTGAGAGTCTCCATAAGAACAGGCTGCAAATGGTGTCTGATCCCATCGTAAGGTTCCTTACATTGTGCATGGAATGCACAATCTTAAGTTAGGGTTCTGGCATTTAGTGAACAAAGGCTGGCTGTTGAAATTGGAAAAACCCACACAGCGCCTGAGCAGTGAAATGAAGATGCTGGCATAGAGAGAGAGAGACAGAGAAGAGGGTGGGAAGCTCTCCCTGCTTCACCTTTGACCCTGCCCACTTTTCAGCACTGGACCTGGCCGGTGGTTCCCAAGAGATGGGTCAGAAAGCAGCAAAGCCAGCCCTCAGTTGAAGCCCACACAGGTGGGGACGAAGGAAGGTCTCTCTCCTTCCACCTTAAGCCCACAGGGAGGCAGGAGACGAAACGGACCGAAAGGGTCCCTCTGAGAAAAGCAGGAGATCGGAAACTGCGGGTGGTTTTGCTCTAGGATCAATTAGCCAAACATTTTGCAAGCAAGGAACTAACTTAAATAGAACAAGGAGAGAAACGTGGTTTATTGACATCGGAAAGTCTTTCTCCAAGATACGTAGCCGTGATGGACAGACTCCTTGTCCACTCTGCTCTGACCTCGTTTGCAAACCTTTGGGGGCGCTTTCTGTGGTTTCTATTCTGTGATCCTCGGATGGGTCTAAGGTGCAGTCCTGGGGGTTTTTTTGGGGGGGTGGCCAAGCGAGGGGAGCTAAATGAAAGGATGTGTCGCTCTTGACTTCCTCTGAGGGACCCTTGTTTCCCAAGCCACCCCCCACCCCACCCCCTGCTGTTACCTCTATGAATATTTGGTGTTTGAAATTTCCTTCCACAGCAGAGTCTTGAGGCTGTTGAGCACCAGGGAATGGTGCACCTCCATTTGGCTGGCCAGGCCGCTCAGCGTCATGCAGGTTTTCAGCTGCTTCTGCAGCTCCTCTTTCAGGTCCCTCGGGGCCCCGTGGAGCAGGTACTCCTGCAGGAGGCCGCACACCTTGGCCAAGTTGGGCTGGACCACGTCGCTCTTGCACTGCTTCATGAGCTTGTCGCAGGGGGCCACGCAGTCCGTCCCGTACGTGCAGTCCGCGTTCTGCTCGCAGTGGCGTCCCTTGAGGAACCCCCGGATGGCCATCTCCGTGGCCACCTTCCGGAGGTCGACCATCTTGAAGTCGTATTTCTCGTTGTAGCCGACGTTCTTGAAGCCCGTCTCGCAGATGTAGAAGCTGCCGTACGTCCCGTGGAATATCTCCTCCACAAATTCCAAGAGGCCGATGGCGATTTTGGCCCGCCGGGGCCAGGCTGGGGAAAACCACTGGTGGACCATGCGGTGGACGGCGGAAGGCAACAGCGGCTGCAGAAGCTGTGGGACGTCCACCGTGTAGAGGGAGGTGTGGCGGACCTTCTCCGTGACGTAGAGGTCCCCACAGTGTCCCAGCAGCCTCGGGGTGTGCTCTTTCTCGTGCAGGGAGAGGGTCAGCAGAAAGTCGTTCAGCTGAAGAAGGGCCCAAATGGATTTCGCTTCCGCCAGAGAGAGCTTCCCGTCTCGACTGACATCTGCCATCGCTATGATTTTGTTCACCAGGTTAGCGAGGGAGGCCTGGTCGCCGAGAGTTGACTGCGGAAACAAAGAAAACCAAATAACCAAATTATGAGTGAGTCCTATCTCCTGCAAACGCCTGTGTGAACCCGCTGGGGGCTTCTCTGATAGCCGCCTGGATTGGTTAATTCATTCCCACGGCTAGGTGCCCTACAGTAGGACACCCCCCCATATCCGTGCGATCAGTATCCGCTGATTCACTTATCCACTATTTGGAAAAAGGTTTTCTCAGAAATATAGATTTCTAATGATATAGTAACCACAGCTGGCCACTAGAGAGATCCAGAGACCACACTATGCAGTATCCGCTGATTCACTTATCCACTGTTAGAAAAAAAGGTTTTCTCAGAAATACAGATTTCTAATGATATAGTAATCACAGCTGGCCACTAGAGAGAGCCAGAGACCACACTATGTATAGAATTCACTGTTCTTAGAGCATTTGCTATCATCTGCCTTTTTCAGCCTCCACGCCTTTACCGTGGGTCCCACTGTACACTGACTTTTAAAAAGTCCAGGAGCATCTCTCTGAATTCATCCATGGAGGTCCCCCGGGTCGGCTTGTTGAAGAGAACCACGTCTCTCCTGGGGGCTGTCTCTGGGCTGCCGTCCGCCTTCAAGGCTTCTTCGATGCCACATTTGATGATTACCTCCTTCAGGCAGGTAAGGGGGGCTGCTTCCTGGGGGGGGGGGGGGGGGGAAGCAAGCAACCAGTGACTTTTAAGGAGCTGGACAAGATTTGGCTGGTTAGCTGGAATTGCACAGTGGGGCCTGGTGTTGACCCCAACCCCCGGAGTCTCCGCCTGGCCACACAACGGTTGCTCATTTCACTTGGGTCTGTTTTTAAGTCCCTCCGCTGTTCAACCCCCCCCTGCAAGGTCCCTGCTCTGCCAGAGGAATCAAGTGGGAGCCCAAGGTGGCTGGTGGCATCGTACACCTGAGCCCCCTGGTCACCTTTACCTGTTGGGTGGGGGAAGACGTCAGGCATTGCTGGAACACCAAGGTGTGGTCCTCGCAGAGGTCCTTGCACGTTGACCCAGAAATGATTCCTTTAGTATACTGATCGCACTGGGAGGGAGGGAGAGAGAGAGAGAGAGAGATCCTAAATTAGCAAAATTCCCTGGGGAGCCCAGGGCGATGGACCCATCCTTGCCAAAGAGCAAGGAGCACAACTGCATCTACAAAAATGAATACACAAAAGACACAAACTGTTATATTTGTGCTTTCTTAGAGGGAAACTCTCTTAGGGTCACTACAAGTCCAGTTGACTTGACAGCCCATCACAACACGCCCAAACAACCAGACGCAAGGAATCAACAAGATCTACATCCATCTTGTCTTCAGCAAGTGATTCAATGGGTGCCTTCTAAGCGGGGGTAGCTGTCGGACTCTCCTCCTAGTTCTCCCCTCAAGGGCCATCCAAGCAGGCCAGCAAGGGTTGGGGGAGGGCGGAAAGTGGGTAGAACAACCGCTTGGTCTCGTGTAATACCCACAG